CAACCAATGGTGTATATAACTGGAAACAAAACTGAATACTTAATATATCAGTGAGAAATGCTAAATAGATATATAAATATAAACACACCAGTGATGAATAATCTAATACCTCCGATAAAAACTTCTTCTCATTCACAGAAGAATATAAATAAATAAAAAGGTGCTCATTAAGTGAACAAATGATCACAAACTCAAAAAGTGAACAAGTGTATAAAAAAACTTTTCTACGTGCATATACCAAAAATGTATATACATATAACATATATATAAATAAATAAAGTCCATGCAGGTGTAGCTTGTGAAAAAACGTGGTCTTCACTTCTAGTGCGCACACACACACAAAAATCCTCAAATGGCAGCAGTGCCTGCTCACCTCCCCGCACTGACCCTCAAGGGGCCAAAAGGCTACTTAATCTCCTCTATGGCCAATCTTTCTCCTTCGGTAGCTCAGCAGGGGATCACAGGGTCTCCACTTCTCCTCCACTCATACGTCCTGATCATGTGTGCAGCACCACGGCAACAGCACATCAAACAGAGGTCAAGATGGCAGCTTCCTTGGCCTCCATAGATCCTCAGGAACACTCCTCCTGTGTCTGTGAATGGAATTTCCTGGATCCACAGCCACTTCCTCCTGTACCACTACCCCCTCCCTCCTAGATTGTAAGCTCGAAAGAGTAGGGCCCTATAACCCCTCGTGTGCTGTTTGTAGTTGCTGTAATGTTTCATGTATTGTCCCCCCCTCTATTGTACAGCGCTGAGCAAACCCTTTGGCGCTATATCAACTCAATGTAATGTAATGTAATGTAATGTTTTGGTGTACATAATATGTAGCATTAAAAAATTACCTTAGCAAGATTTCTAGGTAACAGACACAGTATATATATTTATTTCTACATAATTTTACATATGCAGAGATGTAGAGTGGCTGATGCATTTCAGAGACAAATAGCTCCTTCTTCAGGGATAACTCTGCAATACTGTTTGATCTAAATTAGTATCAAAGTATTTATCTTTAGAACATACAGCATAACACTAGATAAAACAATAATACAAAGTCCAAAGGTTGTACATCATACTCACAATGTAGTACCAGTGGATGAAAAGGATGCATTTCTCATAAAAAAAACAAATGCCAACGTTCCTATCAAATCCCTTACTCCGTCACAGGAGAATGAGGGAGGGGTAAGGGTATCCCTAATCATGGACCCAATCAGGCAAACACTGAGACCACCTATTGCCAAAACAGGAGAGGAAAAACACAGGTATAAATACTAGTAAATCTCTCTTCTGTCTAAAAGCCTGTGAAAAAAAAAAATAAATAAATACATATACCCCAGCAGGATACATTGGATCTAACAAAGAATCCAGGTGAAGCATCGTAGTGTCCTGACATAGTGTCCCGATTGTAGTGTTCAAAATGGGGTAGCTATAATATAGAGATAGTAAATGCTCAAAGAGGGCAGTGTGCTGTAAATTTATGGCGTTGCCAAAACTATATCAAACATATAATATTATTATTCAGATTGTATATAGCGCCAACAGTTGTGCAGCGCTTTACAAAATGAAGGTAGACATTGCAGCTAGAATACAATTTAGGAATCAGAGGGCCCTGCTTGTTAAAGCTTACAATCTAAGAGGGAGGGCCAAGTAATACAAAAGGTAATAGCTGTTGGGGATGAGCTGATGGAGAAATTAAAAACAGTGTATTCGTTAGAAGCAGGATAGGCTTCTTTAAACAGAAGGGTTTTCAGAGATCGTCTAAAGATGCATATATTAGGAGATAGAGTCGATTGTGGTAGGGAGTTCCATAGGATGGAAGAAGCTCGGGAGAAGTCCTGGAGGCGAACGTGGGAGAATGTGACATGGGAACTAGAAAGCAGAAGGTCTTGGGAGGACTAAAGAGAGTGGTTTGGTTGATATTTTGAGACCAGGTTAGTGATGTAGCTGGGGGAAGAGTTTTGGATGGCTTTGTAAGTGGTTTTTAGGACTTAGAATTTTATTCGTTGTGTGACTGTAAGCCAGTGAAGGGATTGGCAGAGAGGGATATAAGACATTGAAAGGTTGGTAAGATGGATCAGTCTGGCAGCAGCATTCATGATGGACTGTAGATGGGATAGCCTATGTAAAGGTAATCCAATGAGGAGGGAGTTGCAATAGTCAAGGCGAGAAATAACCAAGGGGTTAATTAGGAGCTTTGTGGTGTCATTGGTTTAAAAAGGGGCATATTTACCATTGATCGCCCCTGCATGGATGTGTTTTTTGCACTGTTGTCTTTATACTTTGTGCCATTGATAGCCCCTGTGTGGACGTGGCTTTTGCTCAAATCTTTCTTTGTTAAAAAAGTTAATAAAAATCATTGAAATACAAAAAAAGGTGGGGGCATATTCTGGAGATGTTGAGGAGGTTGAGGTGGCATGATTTGGACAGGGATTGGATGTGGGCCTGAAAGGACAGTTCAGAAATCCAGGGTTACTCCTAGAACCCTGGTATCCGGGGACAGGTTGATAGTTGTGCCATTCATCTTGACAGAAACAATCAGGGGAAAATGCATGTGGGGGAGGAAATATTATGAGCTCAGTTTTGGATAGATTGCGTTTGAAAAAGTGGTGTGACATCCAATCTGATATGCCTGCTAGTAAATCAGTGATACGTGAGGAAACTGATGAGGTGAGCTGAGGGGTAGAGAGATAGATTTGTATGCCATCAGCATAGATATGGTATTGGAAACCCATGGGAAGCGATCAGCTGACCCAGGGGAGAGGTGTAGATTGAGAATAGGAGAGGTCCAAGGACAGAACCTCGGGGGGACCCTGACGGTAAGAGGAGGAAGTAGAGTTGTAAGTGACACTGAAGGTTTGGTGAGATAGGTAAGATGTGAACCAATGGAGAGTACAGTTATGGAGTCCAAAGAAATAGTTTTTTGAGGAGGGGGTGGTCAACTGTATCAAAGGCAGTGGAGAGTACGGAATAGTGACCGTTGGTTTTAGTAAGTCATTTGTCCGTTTTAGGAGAGCAGTTTCTGTGGATTGTTGTGGGCGAAATCCAGACTGAAGCGGATCAAGAGGGTTATTCTCAATGAAGTGGCAGCTCAGCCTGTTGTAAACTAGAAGTAGAGAGTTAAAGGTAGAAGAGAGTTGATGTGGACTGCGTGAGAGGGTGTTAATGAGACTGATAAAATAGTTATGCTTGACAGTCTGGATGTAGGAATTGTATTTTTGGAGGGAGAATTTTTTTTGGTTGAAGTCTTGCTGGGACAGACACTCAAGAGTGTGGCTATGTTTTTTTGAGGCTTCCGATATTGTCTGTTTGCCAGGGTTGTAGCGGTCAGGCGTGATTCTATGTATAGTGAGGGGGACCAATGTCTCCAGGGTGGATGACGGTGAACTGTTGACAGAAGTGGCCAGTTTGGGGCAGGATAGGGCTGAGATTTTGTCAGAGACAATCTATTGAAGAAAAAAAGAAGAGAAGGGTTAAGATGGTGAGGGTTTCTTTGGGTAACTTAGGTAGTTGGAAGGAAAGAAGGAAGAAGACAAGGAGAGAGTGAAGCTAATAAGGTACTGATGACAGAGAGGGAAAGGAAGTTCAAAAGAGGAGGTTAGGCTCAGAAGTTTAGAAGTAACAGGAGTGTTAAGATTATCAGGGATGTTGAAGTCACAGAGAATGATTGTGGGAGTTTCAGAAGAAAGTACGACAGCCAGGTAGAGAAGTCTTCAAGGAAGCCTTCAAGGAAGCTTGATACTGGTCCAGGAGGCTGATAGATCACATCAATTCTCAAAGAAACTGAAGAGAATAGACTAATAGAGTGAGCTTCAAATGAGGAGAGGGAGGCGACTGAAGAACCTGAAAAGTGCTTTGAGGGGATAGGAGGATTCCAACTCCACCTCCCTTCCATCCACTAGGCCTGGGAGAGCAAGTCCAGAGGATGCCACCAAGGGAGAGGGCAACCAGAGAGGGAAAGCCAAATTCGTACAGCCAGATTTCAGTAATTGCAAGTAGGTTAAAGGAGTTTGTGATTAAAAGGTCATGGGCAGAGGTGCTTTTGTTACAGACAGAGCAAGCATTCCAAAGGGCATAGGAAAAGGGGAGGTTGGTTCTAGCAAGAAGAGGAATAGTAACCAGATTGTGGGGATTGCGGTAGATTTTAGAGGATAGAGAGTGCTGAGCTTGTTGTTTGGTCAAAGGAAAATGATGGCTGCTCAGGATTTGGAGAAATGTGTCCAGAGAGAAGCAGGCTGAGAGAGGTAATGTGGGAGTATGACTTATATGGAGGGACATGTCTCGGTGTCCTGGAGGTTTTATTACTTTGTGGGTTCAGAATTGGCAAGAGTTGATGGGTGCGGTAATACGTAAAGGCAAGAGTGAGGGTGATATACAAACTGTGGGGCAGAGAAGAGGGGTGAATAAAAGAGTTTGAGGAGAGAAGATACAACTGTAAGAAGTAGGGAGTGTATGTTACAGAGTGGTGAGATTAAGACGCAGACTGGGTAAGAGATGAAAAAGCTGGATGGGGAAACAGGTCACCTGCAGTCTATTTAGTGCTTTGCAGTTGTCTGCTCTGCATTTCAGCACAAAGCGGGAATCCAGAGCATAGTGCAATACTCAATACTTAATCCAAGATGATAGTTGCGAATGCTATTCCTGTCTGTGCTAACCCTGCCAATTTGGTATCTTATGTATAAATAAACAGAACACCTGTATTTGTATAGTGAGGAAATTAGAATACATTCCATCAATGTCCAGAACTTCCCAAAACAGGAGCCTGAAATAAAAAATAAAGTGCCACACTTGGCTGTGACTGAAGATCTTGTCAAGTACTTGATAAAGGTCTTTAAATTACAGAGTACAATCTTACTTTAGAACAGTACAGTGCAGATTGATTATACAGATGCAATCTTTTTTTTTTTTTTTTTTAAATCTTCGCAAACAGTTGATTTTACTTTACTTGTTGTCTGGACTTTTTCTTTAGTAATACTGATTCTGCAATAATTTCTTTGGAACAGTGTGACGAGTTGGATCAGAAAATAGCCAAACTGACAAGAGAGAGGCAGTATGTGGCCAATGTGTTAAAGGAGGTAAGCACATAAAACACAACAATAATAAAATCTTCATTTCTGATGCTGTTTCAAAAGAACTTTCAGGTCACTAACAAATCACTGTGCTTTGGAAAGAGGGCGTGGGAAGAGAGCAGACACAGGCAGCTGAATGGCACTGCTGCTGGGGACTGGACAGAGACAGACCTGTCACTCAGTCCAGGTTCGGCCTGCGGTCCACCATTTAACCTCCCTGGCGGCATTCCCGAGTGTAGCTCGGGTAAAGTTTCAGTACCACAAGCAGTAACCCCGAGCTACACTCGGGCTTACCATACGGTGTTGCTCCACGATCCCTCGATCACTTACCTTGTCATACGCTCCCGTGATGTCCCTCCTGCAGTGTTCCCGGCAATGTAACCCGGCGGATGCCGGCATCTGTCATCTGGGTTCCGTCCCCTGCGAGCGCCGGGACGTACAGGGGACAGAATGGTGGGAAATTTGAAAATGACAAAGTGACATTCGCTAAAATCACATAGTAAAACATTACTTTATCAAAGCATTTCACATACATTTTGTCCCTAGTGCTTTGTACTGTGCCCTGCCTGTATTTTTACTGTTCTTTCTGCCTAGAAACTGAGAAACGTCCATTGCGTCCAAAAAGCGTCCCTTTAGGTCAAAAGTGGTTTTAGACCAGTAGAGAACAGCGATAGTAAATTAGAACCACTTGCAGAATTGAGTGATAATGATTCGTGGGGAAATTAGTCATCAGACACTAAAAACAATTTTGCGACTTTGCTCAGTGATGTGCAAACTTGGCGCTATATTTCAAATTTCAGTGTTTTTGGTTTGATTATATTATTGAATTAAATTTATTATTATAATATTTTTTATGATTATTAAATTATAATTTATGATTTCGTGTTTCAAGTTTTATCCTAACCGGGAAGTTTACTAGACTCTTGTTTGGACAGATTTCAGTGAGTTATTCCTAAAACTTACGAGCCTACAATATAAAACACCAAATTTCCATGCAAAATAATGGTACCGCTTTCAGCACCAAAAATCTGAAATAATCATACCGCCAGGGAGGTTAATGATGCCTGTTTTAGGGAAATTTTAACTCAAAATATTTGGAGATTCGAATGGAGTTGAGAAAAGTTACTCTTGTTACTTTTTTTTCTTGTTTATGTTCTCACTTGGGAGGATCACTCTCTTTGGTCTGGTGACCATTTTCTCCAGGTCCAAACATGATGAGAATTCACAACTTTACTTAAAACTGCTGGATAATTTCCCCAATAGGATACCATTACTTTGTCCAAAACGGTTTTGGCTTTTAAATGCTGTTTAAAGTGTACCTAAACCCACAAATGATTAATACTGTATATTGCTGCTATCAATCCTTTGGTGTGGTGACTGTATTAGGTTTTTCTTTAAGAATTTTTTTAAGCTAAGAACATTTTGAGAAAATGTGGAATATACTTGTTGTTCTTGCTAGAAATGCAATGTTCTTGTCTTTTTTTTGTGAGGTGGATTAAAAACGCAAAATCTGCCCATTTCTAGCTTCATCATTTAGAGTTGCTAGCATCACAGTAAAGGAAATACTTGAACATTTAGTATAAAAAGCTTGCAAATTGTTTTTTCAATGAGGTTATCTTTATATGGTAACTCATACAAATGAGCGCAGAGAGGCCACTCCAGGTGGAAACATGTGAACAGTTAATCATGAGCTCACCACTGCTGCCTTGTTAATCATTTGCATGATGAAGAGAACTAAAGAAATAGATGCTGTGGAAAATGCTCTGTCAAGCACCTTAATGAAGGTGCATCTTTATTGGGTGAGACAAAGTAGCAAATATAATAAAGTTTGACCAGCCTGAAGTGAACAGTGTGACTCCAACGGACGGCCTGTCCTCTCTGAAGGGAGCTGAGATCGGAGAACGCTCATGTTGGCTTCAAATCACGTGGTGTCAGCGTCCCGGGTGATGTTACCATGGCAAGCGAAGGCAGTGTCCAGCGTTGGGTTATCAAGACGACATGTTTCGCGCAGTTGCGCTTTGTCAAGCCTAGTTATCTTTATATGGTGTTTAACTGGTAATTGTACGAGCTGATTTGCAAAAAGCTAATATGGTACCAAAATTCAAAAAAGGGCCAAGATATACAGTTAGGTCCATATATACAGTGGGGATCGAAATTTTGGGCACCCCAGCTAAAAATTTGTATTAATGTGCATAAAGAAGCCAAGGAAAGATGGAAAAATCTCCAAAAGGCATCAAATTACAGATTAGACATTCTTATAATATGTCAACAAAAGTTAGATTTTATTTCCATCATTTACACTTTCAAAATAACAGGAAACAAAAAAATGGCGTCTGCAAAAGTTTGGGCACCCTGCAGAGTTAATATCTTGTACTGCCCCCTTTGGCAAGTATCACAGCTTGTAAACGCTTTTTGTAGCCAGCCAAGAGTCTTTCAATTCTTGTTTGAGGTATCTTTGCCCATTCTTCCTTACAAAAGTCTTCCAGTTCTTTGAGATTTCTGGGCTGTCTGTCACGCACTGCTCTTTTAAGGTCTATCCATAGCTTTTCAATTATGTTGAGGTCAGGAGATTGTGAAGGCCATGGCAAAACCTTCAGTTTACGCCTCTAGTGAAGTATTCCCCCGTGGATTTCGAGGTGTGTTTAGGATCATTATCCATTTGTAGAAGCCATCCTCTCTTTAACTTCAGCTTTTTCACAGATGGCATCAAGTTACCATCCAAAATTTGCTGAAATTTTATTGAATCCATTTTTCCTTCTACTCGTGAGATGTTCCCTGTGCCACTGGCTGCAACACAACCCCAAAGCATGATTGATCCAACCCCATGCTTAACAGTTGGACAGAGGTTCTTTTCATTCAATTCTGTGCCCCTTCTTCTCCAAACGTACCTTTGCTCATTCCGGCCAAAAAGTTCAATTTTAACCTCATCGGTCCACAGAACTTGTTTCCAAAATGCATCAGGCTTGTCTATATGTTCATTTGCAAAGTTCAAACAATGATTTTTGTGGTGAGGACGTAGAAGAGGTTTTCTTCTGATAACTCTTCCATGAAGACCATATTTGTTTTGAATTGTTTTTCTCACAATCCTGCGAGCTGTTCTGTCTGATATTTTTCTTGGTCTTCCAGATCTTGCTTTAACTTCCACTGTTCCTGATGACTGCCATTTCTTAATTACATTCCGAACAGAGGATATTGACATCTGAAAACGCTTTGCTATCTTCTTATAGCCTTCTCCAGCTTTGTGAGCGTCAACTATTGTCAGTTTCAGTTTTCTAGACAACTGCTTAGAAGAACCCATGGTGCTGATTGTTGGGGCAAGGTGAGATAAGTCTGGGCATTTAAAACCTTTGAGATTGACATAACCTGGTCTTCCCAGACGATGATTGAGAACAATCCATGACACTGGCAGGTCTCAGCTTTGCAAAGGGGGCAGTGCATGCTATAAATTCTGCAGGGTGCCCAAACTTTTGCAGATGTCATATTTTTGTTTTCTGTTATCTTGAAAGTGTAAATAATGGAAATAAAATCTAACTTTTGTTGACATATTATAAGAATGTCTAATCTGTAATTTGATGCCTTTTGGAGATTTTTCCATCTTTCCTTGGCTTCTTTATGCACATTAATACAAATGTTTAGCTGGGGTGCCCAAACTTTCGATCCCCACTGTATATATTTGGACACGGGCACAATTTTCATATGTTTGGCTCTGTATGCCACCTGAATAAATTGAACTAAACAATCCAAATGGATTTGAAGTGCAGACTTTCAGCTTTAATTGAAGGAGGTGAACATAAATACCAAGTACATATTTTAGGAACTGCAACCATTTTTATACACAGTCCCTCCCTCCATTTTTAGGGACTCAAATGTAATTGAACAAATTAATATAATCATAAATAAAATGTTCATTTTTTTTTATATTTTGTTGAGAATTTTTTACTGGCAATGACTGCCTGAAATCTGGAACCCATGGACATTACCAAAGACTGGCTTTCCTCCTTTCTGATGCTTTGCCAGGCTCTAACTGCAGATGTCTTCAGTTGTTCTTTGTTTGAGGGTCTTTCTGCCTTTAGTTTTGCCTTCAGCAAGTGAAATGCATGCTCAGTTGGGTTGAGATCAGGTGATTGACTCAGCCATTGCAGAATATTCCACTTCTTTTCCTTCAAAAGCTCCTGGGTTGCTTTTGCAGTGTGCATTGGATCATTGTTCATCTGTACTGTTAAGCGCTGTAAAATCAACTTGGCTGCATTTGGCATCAGTCTGGACTGACAGTATATGTTTAAACACCAAAGAATTCATCCGGCTGCTTCTGTCACATCAATAAACACCAATGACCCAGTGCCACTGGAAGCCATGCATGCCCATGCCATCACACTGCCTCCACCATGTTTTACAGATGACGTGTGCTTTGGATCGTGAGTTGTTCCAAGCCTTCTCCACACTTTTTTCTTCCCGTCATTCTGGTATAGATTAATCTTAGTTTCATCCGTCCAAAGAATGTTTTTTCAGAACTGGTTTGGCTTTTTTAGATGTTTTTTGGCAAAATCTAATCTGGCTTTTCTATTCTTCAGGCTTATGAATGGTTTGCACCTTGTGGTGAACCCTCTGTATTTGCTCTCGTGAAGTCTTTTCTCTTGATTGGAGACTTTTGACAATGATACACCCACCTCCTGGAGAGTGTCCTTCACTTGTCTGGATGTTGTGAATGGGTTTTTCTTTACCATAGACAGGATCCTGCGATCATCCACCACTGTTGTCTTCTATGGACGTCATGCCTTTTTATGTTGCTGAGCTCACCAATGCGTTCTTCTTTCCTCAGAATGTACCAAACTTTTGATTTGTCCACTCCTAATGTTGCTGCTATCTCTCAGATGGATTTGTTTTGTTTTTGAAGCCTTACAATGGTCCGTTTCACTTGCATGGACAGCTCCTTTGAACTCATGATGTAGGTTCACAGCAATAGATTCCATATGCAAATACCACACTTGGAATCAACTCCAGACCTT